GTGCTATTTTAGTATTATTGAGTTTATCATAATATGTGTGTGTGTTGTGGTAGACCACATGATTAATGATGTGCAATAGTGTGAATCCAGACTTAAAAGTGTATTTCCTCTTTTGCAATCAAATTGAGAAAACCCCACTATATGTTTGTTGTGTGCTCCCATTCACATGCCTAAAAATCCTTTTTTTTAATTAAATATATTCAGTTGTTTCTTTGGAGCAAGATCATACTGTATATAGGACTCTATGGGCAGCTTCTATTGCTTTGAAAAGATGGCAATGTAGAGATAAGAGACAAAATGAGGGACAGGGCATTAACATACAATATCTTGAGTTCTTTAACCCTTTGTTAGGACAGACAGTCTAGTATACAAGTGATAGTGATGCGCAAACTGTTGGCGCTATATAAATCCTGTAGGGCTGTTACTGATTAATATTTTCGTGTTCGATCGGAAAAAAAATGTAAATAGATTAATTTCGATTAATTATAAACGCACATACAGATCGAACTACATTGGCCTATACACATACAGCACAGCAATGAAGTAATAAAATGAACTAGGATCACACTAATCCAGCACGTTATTATTCTCACATGCCCCACTCAATATGGCCGCCGCTTGAGTGGGGTAACTCAGAATAATAACGTGCTGGATTAGTGTGATCCTAGTTCATTTTATTACTTCATTGCTGAGCTGTATGTGTATAGGCCAATGCCTTGGCTGGCGCTCGTGCAGAAAGTTTATTGGGCAAACTCACCGGCCCAAGTGGCTCCGTCGGCTAACGAAGGGAAGGGGGGAGGAGTCCGGTGACGTCACAGACATCGACGTCACCAGACATCACCGGATCTGCGACGGGACTCCCGGAAGCCGGCGGAGAGGCGAGTATTTTCATTAGTGATCAAAAAATTTGAATCGATCAAAAAGATTAACGATTAATCGAGAAATTAATTGTTAATTTGCACAGCCCTAAAATCCTGTATAATAATAATAATAATAATAATAATTGTGAAATCTGCCAGCACAATACACGCAAAGTTTAAAGAGAACTAAAACCAAAACTTTTTTTAACTTTAGTCCTCTTTCGGGCTACAGCCCACTATATGCTGACAGCCCAGAGCCGCACTGCCATTGTCAGGATCCCACCCCACTGCCTGATTGACAGCTGCCTCTGCCAAGGAGCACTGGAGAAACTGAGAGTCCATCACTGCTCTCTGCAGGGAGAAGCCATGAGCTGAGGCATCAGTGGTTCGAGATCGCTCAGTTTTCGATATAAAAAAGAGCTGGCAGGTGACAGCTGCAGTGTTACACGCTGGTTTTAAGTATTGGGGAAGAGTACATTTTACTCTCCCAATACTTCCCATTTAATTATGGCAAACACAACTCCCCTTCCCCTAAAGATTACATAGCATGGACGAACTAAGTAGGATTTTTTAACCAAGGAGTTTTCCGAAAATAGAATTTGAAGTAGTAAGCTGCAGTTTTTATTATTTTTTTATGTTATCTTATGTGAATGGGAAGATGTAACAAATATTAAAATGTGTTGTCCCAATTTGGCTGCAAAAGTGGAAATACACTTTACAGACAAAACAGTGACATAGATGGATAGTAGGCTTCCTCTGGTGTCTGCACATATCTTGTAATACTGTATGTTCCAAAACATACTGGGAGCCCGAAAACTGCTATACCTTTATATGAAAGTATCAATGTCTGCCAAGAGAGTCCAAAAGTAGGCCACCCGTCCCATGCCCCAATCTTGGCTTCTGAGGCCAGCTATTACCTTTGGAGGCCAATAGACCAAAGCCCTGAAGATTGTAGGGTATGTGAAGTAATAGAAAACGTTTTTGTGCTGTATGTCCTCACTTTACCTGCTTTGTATGAAAAAGTCCTTTCACTCAGAGTACTTGTGCAGAAAGGTTCTGTGTACTCTTTAAAAAGCTGGGGAACATAGTAATATATACATATTTGAGGTATGTGATAACAGACTCCGTTCATTAAGCCTTTACACAAACATGAAGGGTCTTTATTTTGAGCCATGCAAGTGTAATTTCCTTCATTCAAATATACATGCATGTTGTAACATATGAAGCTGCATTTGCTATGTCATAGCATGCAGAGATAATCTTTGCATTGACATAGGAGAACTATGTGGTAAAAGTCCCAAATCTTCATTTATATTTTTCCTAACAGCAATTCTTTATGACATTATATGAGGTGCAAGTGACAAAAAGGGGCACTCAAAGAGTGTTCCTGATGCTGAGCACTTCCCTGCTGCCTGGACTTAAACAGTATACTGGCATGAATGTTTGTTATGTTCAGTAGAAGTTTAAAGTTTATTTCACTGCACATTTGTTTGAGTTGGTGTTTATGGCATCAGACAGGCTTTGAACCTGCAACAGTTCCGGTCACATGATCAGCTCTCCATTTATTAAGAGATAAAACAGCGCTGCCTGCGGGCAATGCACGGCCACACTCCTTCCCAAATGCAACACAGTAACAAGTCACAAAATGGCAGCACATTTTAAAAGTTGCACAGTGAAAGTTAATTTCTTCATCGTGAGCACAGCATAAAAACCATACGCCCCCTGGTACATGTCAGCTAATCTTAGCCTTAGTTGTAGCCAAGTATGGATGGATCTCCTTATGCTTATATACCCACCCACCAACAAGGTAGGCCAAAATCACACGTCTAAAAACATCAGACTCTTATAAACTGCCTAACAGACAAAATATACTATCAATGTGGAGGTCAATGTCCCATCTATAAATAAGACCTAGTGGCATTCTATTCTTAAGCTTAAAAATACAAAATGCTTAATGCCAAAGTAAAAAATTGTATTAATTTCCCCTATGTACAGAGTCCGTATTGCCGTAATGTATATTCCAAAAGTGTTTAGTGACATTCAATTAACTAGACACAGTGGGGTACTGACCTGCATAATTGAATCTGTGACACCCTATGGGGCAGTTCAGCCACACAGCAAATGTAAAATACAAGTAGGTTGGGTAAGTTGTCTTACCTTGTTGAAGTTACAACTATTGATAGATATCTCCATCAATTAATGTAAGATAGCATGTTAATCTGTTGTGCCATGTTGTTTTACGGTATCAAGGAAAGCTAAAAAATAGCAAATCTATACTGGCATTACTACAGTAAATCCAATCCTTTTAAAAAAAATAGTGCTCAAAGTGACCCTCATGCGCCCACTGGCCATGGGTGCCAGGCCCAATATGAGATCCTCCTCCTCCCTGCAGTCAAGAAAAAAACAAACCCCCAGGCTGCATTCTGCTGTGTTTTTCTTCAATCTCAATAAAACTTTATCAAAACACTGCATAGCTTCTTTTTTTTTTTTTAAATCCTCACCCCTGCCAAGGCATGACTGCTTCTCTGGCATATTGCTGCTCAGTCATGGCTTAAATCATAGGGATTGCATTACTACAGGCCTAATTTAAAGTGAAACTCCAGTCAAACATTTTGGTTTGTAATTTTTGGCTACAGTGAAGAAATGTTTGAATCTCTCTCAAGTTTTGACTGTGGACCCTGAATTTCCTACCGTGGTAACCACACTGGGTAGAAGGACAGAGGATGCGTCTGTATTAGCCACACATCAATAAAAACCCAGGCCAACTTATCCTCACCTAATTTCACTACTTCAGAAACTCTGTTATTTCAAATCATCATTGCTCTTGACAATGTGTATGCAATAGGGCCATCTTAATGTCATAGGGCTTGTTTAACAAAGCAGTGCAAATGATATTGTGTAAGTAAAACACTAAAACCAATTAGATTAGTGGAATATGATTTCTGATGTGTTCATTTGGTCCCTGCCAATGGCACAAAAGTCAAAATGACCAGTAAAGGGTAACGTGGGCCAACAAAGGTCAATGCAAATCTTTCCTTTTCCTGTAAAAGCTGAACTTGGCCCTATATCACCTGGTCCCTTATAATGATGGATTGCCTCAGTGATTTAAAAAGATGCTGAAGAGGTAAGAAGAATCAGGACTAAGTGCAACTTTTATAAGGAAAGATTTTCATGTAGCTTCCTTGACCTATATGTCAGAATCTACATTACATGACTACCTCTCCCTGATAGAAATAATATATAATGTGTGTTGTAGTTTTCACAGTAAACTACAACAATGTGTATTTTTCTGGATTTAAGAGCATTCATTTTAGTGCTTCGGCAGTCCAGATTGTGGAAGATAAATACACTTCCCTTTGCCTAGGGACCTGCAGATTATTTTATGACATGCACAGACATATAATTGTATGCAGCAGTGTAGCGTAAGCATACAATAGCTGTGTCTAGTTAGAAAAAGTGCTAGCTTGGTTAAAACAACTCTTGACATTATATACCAAAACTTTGTCCCCATGGGAATTTCTGATTACATCACGGGAAGGCAACCTCAGCACTCCAGTTGTGGTGAAACTACAAATTCCATCATGCAATTGGCTGCCAGAGTCTTGCAGTACCTCATGTAGTTTCACCACAGCTGGAGTACCAAGGTTGCTGACTGCTGGATTACAGCCTTCTAGTCCCCCTTTCTGCAGCAACCTCTTACTCCAAGACCCTGTACTCACCCTTTAGCCCAATCCAAAGGGGCTCTGATGCACCAAAGAGAGAGTGGTCAGAGCCCCCCATCCTCTATCCAACCCTTCTTTCTTCCCTTGACCACCATCTTCACCATCTCAGTTTGATCAATTGTCAATATTGGTGGTGAATTTCTTCGTGATCTTCTCCAAAGATATAAATGCACCTATGCATACTCCACTGATGCTCACCAATGGAATGCATATTTCTGGTGTTTACATGCTCATATCCAGCAAGAGACGTTTTACCTTTAAACGCAAGTTTTGTAAACACCTAGATGCTCTATGTAAAATTATTTTACCCGATCTACATTTCCATTACATGTAACCACCTCAAAAATAAGTAAAACGTAAGTTGTAAAAAGAAAAATGCTAATAAATCATTTTAACCTAAAATAATTCTGTAATGCAGGCACCCTCCACCACATATACTGGATACAGAAGGGCCTGGATCAAGAGCTACATTAGCATGGACCCAGGAAAGATATGATGATTACATGAATCGGCCCTTGTCATCACTGCATGAGAGAAGCAAAACACCAACTCTAAATCCGGACTACTTCCACCAGGTATAGTAAACACATACTCAGGGCCGGTGCTAGACTATTTTGCGCCCTAGGCAAGACTAACTACTTGCACCCTCTAGCCCTCCTCCCACAGCGCAACCCCCAATCCCCCCCGCGACCCCATTCTCCTGCTGGCTAGCTTCTGCAGGCAACGGGTAGATGTAAGCAGACAGGAGCAATAGCAAGACTGCTATTGGCTATTTTCATTTGAAATAGCCAGTAGCAGACTTGCTATTGAAACCCCACCCATTGAGGATAGTAGACCTGAGAGAGAAAGTCTCTCAGTTCTGCTCCTTTGCTCAGTGGGCAGGAACAAAAGCCAGCATAATGGCTTTTGAAATTTATAATCCACAGGGGGGGGTCAGTGGTCGAGGCTGCGCCATATGGCGGCTGCCTAGTTTGCCTTTACAGGTACCATCTGAGATGGCAAAGAGTAATTTTTTAAAATAGAAGCAATGGTGTGTAAGACATGCACAGCACACACTACATCCAGACGATCAAGGGAAATCACTTACTGATGCTCTGGAGCTGGACAAAAAGTATGGAAAAGCAATGTCCTGGTTGAGGTAAGGGACCAAAGCCACCTTAGGAGGACAGAAAGCTCTAAGCCTCAACACCACTTTGTCGTTATGCAAGACCAAAATTGTTTTTTTACAGGGCAATACTGCCAGCTCAGACACAGGGGCATGCCTTCCATGAGCAATAGTAGACCTTTTTGGTAAGTTGTCTTCCTGGCTTTTAACCTTGTAAGAATCACTTATTCAGGAGATACCCCTATCCCTCAATACCTGGGCTTCAACAGCCATGTTGTTAAAGCCAGCAACTGTAAAGTAGGATAATATACCAGTCCTTGAGACAGGGGGTCTTAGCAATCTGAAAAAGCCCACAGAGAACCTGCCAGGAGTCTGATCAGATCTGAATACCACATCCACCTGGGTCAATCTGGAGCAATAAGGATTACTGGAATACTCTGCATTTCAATTCAGTGGAGCAGATGAGGAAGGAGTTTTAGGGGAGGAAAGGCATAGACCAGGCTGTACTGATCACAGAGCCACCAGAGTCCACTAGAGGATCTGTGTACCTAGAGACAAATCTGTCCATTTTGTTGTTGAATCTGGATGCTAGTGAGTACATGACCAGCATCCCCCACCTATGACACAAGTCCTGGGACACCTCCAGCTGTAGGGACAATGCCTCCCGGATTTAGGTACTGTCGGCTGAGGAAGTCTGCCTGCAAATTGTCCATTGGATGTAAACAGCAGACAAGGCAAATGAGATCTGCCCAAGATAGAATCCTTTTTTCTTCTCTTGCTGCGGTAAGACTTCCGGTTCCTCCCTGGATGACCCTCCAGTCAGGATGTCCAGTGTTTTAGGGACAATCAAATCATTCAGTGCTCTGGAAAAATAAGTCCAAGTCCCTTGCACTGACAAGGTGTCTAGGACTTCTCCACAGCATGTTAGGCTGACATCCAATGTAAGGAATTTCCTAAGGCGATTGCAAGGATTTTCCCAACTACAGACCAAACACAACCGGGTTGTTGACATCAGGTGAATTAAATTGTCCATCCACTGAAATAATTTGTCCCACAATGACAGCATGTTGAGTTGTAGTGTTCTGGAGTGGAACTGGGCAAAAGAGACTGCCTTGAATGAGACTACCAATAGCCCCAGGACAGTCATGCAGAAGTAAAGAATCAGACAACTCCTGGACTGAAAATTCAAAAAAAATCTGTAAGTGGAAAGCTAGAAGTTTCTCTTGTGGAAGAGAACCTCTGGCTTAAGCGGTCTCTAGAATAAGACCCAGATACTCCAAGTGATGAGTCAGCTCCAACAAACCTTTCCAAGGTCTGAATTGTCTATGCCACATTGTTGGTCAGAACTTGTGCTGACTGCTCCCTCACCATGAAGCCATCCAAATATTCCACAATGGTTACTTGGTTTGAGTCTGGCTTCTGGGGTTGAGGCTTGGGAGTAAGAACAGGAAACTGTGTGGGATCCAACATGTTGTGCTACAAGGCAGAGACAACAAAGCTCAAGCCCAGGCCTTGAATACTCGCGAACTGGCCCCTGAAAGCAAGAGAGCTTCAGATGGCCGAAGGAAACAAAGACCAATAAAGTAGGATCCTTGTGTCACTTGAGATAAGAAGCAGTGAAAAGAAAAAACAGTGAAGCTCCCCCACCACTTTAAAAATAAAAAATAAAACAGTGAAGCTTTTCTCAGAAAAAAATATGTCCATCCTAGCATACAATCTAAGCATGCTGGGAGTGGGAGGGGTCATAACAGGCTGGTCACTGCTTATGTTTGCCTTCTGTAGGCAGCAGTATAACACAATTTTCTCTGAATCATGTGTCCCTCAATGAATGAGAGGAGAAAAAAAAAGGGATTTTTGTCTTACCTGTAAAACTAATGTCTTGATTATACATCACAGGACACAGGCAACTAAATCCTAAGACCAGTGGGTTGTGTAGCTACATTCATGTGATTGGACACAAATCAATCAAAGCTGCAAGACAACCCTACATAACCCTTCCCAATCCCAGCCAGGCTGAGTTTTGTAGCAAAAAGTACAGAGCAGGTCATAGAATACTGTAGGTAGGGTCCTGTGAAAGGGATTTTATAGATCAGACAAAAATTCTGTTTGGATCACAGGACACAGGGAATTAAATCCTTCAGGAGGGGTGGGCAACACAGCAAACAATTGATAACAGGCCCAATGAACAACAACCTCATCAGGACAACTACCAACAGAGGTAGGTCCAAGGCTATAAGGCCATCTGAAACACCACCCAACCAAAATTGACATTGTATCAAAGCGCTAAAGGTGTAAACTGTGAAGATAATAATATTGAATACAATCAAGTATTCAGGTGAAAAATCAAGTGATCGAGTGAAGATAGTAAGTAAGTGGAAAGGGGCTGCGTATTTTAACCTTTGTCTAATATATGGGTTGAATAGATTATAAGTATCAAATAAATGTCTTAAATAAAATTGTATCAAAAAGAAAAAAACAAATAAATAAAATTGTATCAAAAGAACTGTGAGAAACGAAAAAAACAAAGAACCAAAAGGTAACACATAAGTGAATGGTCGTGAAGACTAGCGGTAGTAACAAATGTAAAACAAAAATGATAGTGTTACATTAGGTCATCAGTCAGTAATATGCAACAAAGATCGTGGTAGCCTTTCAAAGTCAATCAGCAATATATAACAATTTATAGGCTGATCTACGAGTAGCACTCTTTCAGTGAATATATCAGATCGACGAAAAAACAGTGTTCAGTGGATGATGATTTAAAAGCCGGGGGAGACAAACACAAGGCAAATAATTGATGATCTATTTCGGTTGTAGTCCGATAGCCCCCCTTATGGATGGGTACTCACCAGAATGTAGTGAGTAGACGGCTTTTTTGGTTAGCAGCACTTTGGTCTGCGGTCGTGCTCTAATTTGGACGTTTTGTTATTCCCGCTTTGAGACCCGCCAGGAAGAGAGTTTTCTTCCTTGCAGCGCTGGAGGTGTCCCACAAGCACAGTGATGAATTCTCCCAAGTGCGCTGTCAGCTAACCTACTCTCAGTAGCCCCAAGGTGTTTAGGAATTAGAAAAAAGAGAGAGCCCTCATGGTGCAGTAAATAAAAGCATTCAGATTTATTAAAAAAGTAGTAACTCACATGTACAATATAAAAAATCCGGCCGGCAAAAGCAGCTCTGGAATGGTTTAAGAGACTCTTCGTGTGCAAAATGAATCTACCTTCTTGATGCTACCACGATCTTTGTTACATATTACTGACTGATGACCTAATGTAACACTATCATTTTTGTTTTACATTTGTTACTACCGCTAGTCTTCACGACCATTCACTTATGTGTTACCTTTTGGTTCTTTGTTTTTTTCGTTTCTCACAGTTCTTTTGATACAATTTTATTTATTTGTTTTTTCTTTTTGATACAATTTTATTTAAGACATTTATTTGAACCATATGTTAGGCTGAGGTTAAAATACGCAGTCCCTTTCCACTTACTATCTTCACTCGATTTTTCATCTGAATACTTGATTGTATTCGATATTATTATCTTCACAGTTTACACCTTTAGCGCTTTAATACAATCTTTTTCGGTTAATTTAAGGAGTTTTCTCTTTTTTTCTTAGCTGCTTTAGGCTTTAATATATTTTAGTCTGTTCCAGAAGCGCAGATTATTTATTTTACAAAATTGACATTTGCAGGTCTGAACACCCACCTGTTAGAACTTGCCAAATGTGTGGACTGAGGGGGCTTTACAGATTTGGGAGATTTAAGTCTGGTGCTCAAACACCTAAGAAGCACTAAACACTCTTAGTGAAGTGTGCCATGAGTGGAAATTTCCGCTTCAGTTTATAGGTCTAAGAGATGGTCCACTGAATCCTCCTGGTAATAATGGAATGAGGCTGGTAGTCCCATACGGGGACCCTCTGGGATGACAAAACAGATCATTAGACTTGCAAATAGCAGCAGTTGCAGAGAAGTGAACTCTGACCACCCAAAACAAAGCATAGGGAAATTTATTTAGGATGTTTAGATGCAGGACACAAGGCAGGTGACAATGTCCTGGTTAAGGTGGAAGGCAGAGACCACCTTAGGGAGAAAGGAAGCCGTAGGCCTCAACACAACTTTATCCTTATGGGTGACCAGCAAGGGCTCTTTGCACGTTAACCTGCTAACTCAGAAACATGCATAGTGGAAGTGAAGGTCACCTTGTGAGCAAAAAGGCAGAGGAGGGTCTCGGATTAGTTCAGGGGAGCTTCTGAAGGGTTGACAGAAGCCGACTGAGGCAGATATCTAACCCTTGCTAGTAGTCAAGGCTAAAAGGTTATTTAAGGCCAGACTAGAGTAATGATAAACACACTGAATGGCCAGATTATTATGACCACCTGACGTTTGTAGGCAAATTCGCTATAATTAGCTATAATTTCGCGCTGAAGTTGCTAGAGGGCCTGACCATTATAGATAGGGAAACAGGATGTTTACCACGACAGTAGAAGTGATTTTTTTCTGAAGATATGGGTAAACAACGTGATTTAACAGCCTTTGAACGTGGGATGATTGTTGGCGGTCGGAGCCATGGAGCGAGTATCAGCAAAACAGCAGAATTTGTTAAATGTTCAAGAGCAGCTGTTGTTAAAGTGTTTAAAGACTGGACTGTCAGCCGAAAATCTGGGTCTGAACGTGCGAATTGTGGCCGTCAGTGACTAGTCAATGTTGGGGCAGAACGGAGAGTGGCAAGACTGGTACAAGACAACAGAAGGGCAACAGTGCAGTGTCAGATTCCTCACATCACCTTTCAACATCACGTGGAGTCACGAGGCAGCCCAACAAAGTCATCTTGTGGAGTCATCTCGTGGCCCAACGAAGAACTGATGGGGTGGTCATAATAATCTGGCCACTCAGTGTATGTCCTGTGCAGTACTTCCTGTGATGGAATTTTCTGGCCTTGCACCAGGCAAAATATGCCTTCCAGGTTCTATTGTAGACATTGTTGGGGGATGACTTCCTAGGCTTAACTTGGTGATCTAATGTTTTAATGGTTTCCTGTGATACGTTCAAGAAACATCTTCGTCCATAACCATACAACAGGATGCAAGATTAGGGTGTGGACCAACCTATTAGTGATCACTCTAAATGCTACCTATACCAGATCAGAAGTATGATCACGTGTACATTTTTGTTATAAAAATTTAATATATAAATTAGGTAAATATGCGATTCAGAAGACTCGAGCATACAGAAACACACCGATATATTCAAGAACAATGAAGTGGGATCCCAATACAACCGTGATCATCTATTATTAAAGTGAAACCTGACTGGTTGCTGTAGGTACTGAATGTATTCTACACCGACAGAGTTCTAATAATGTGATATTTTCTTTCATAGGAGAAAACCATTGATGGCAGTAAAGGCAATGGTGGCCAGAATAAACAGACTTCCTCCTAGGGGAACGTTGACATGTCTGTGCTACTTTGTACCCGCATGATGTTCCTTACAGAAGAATAAACTAGAAAATGGAGAATTAAGACCAAAGATAATGTGAACATTGTTTCTGTGAGACTATCTGTCCTCTTCTCTTAACTAGCAGCACTACAGAGAGCTGCAATTTGAATGGTTGATATGGGCTACAGCATTTTTATATTTTAATTGCTAAATGTTCTTCATTACTGAACAAACTTAAATGGTTCCATATTTTTCAGTAAGGGCTATGTCATAAGGACCTGTATCAACTGGCTTTGGGCTTGTATTAATAGCATCGGTTTGACATTCTTCTGAGATCATTTAGAATTCATGGACATGTTAATTTGATCTGCTTTAAGTGGATTTTGCATTCCCATAGACTTGTATGTCAATGCAAAACCCATTTGATGCAAATAAAAGGTCATCAAAGCAGGCCCCTAGTTGTAGGTGTGAACCACCTGACTCCAGGTATATGCTTTCAGGTTTATTGTTCTGATGCGTTGTTGAGAATAGGAATAACATCTACATAAAAAAACACAAAACTCCAGTTTTCAATAAAGTGAGTGAGGGAACGTCTGTCATGTCTTTATTGCCATTTGTTACCCCAGTGGGGGGGATTTTGGCTAACCTTTTATCCCTGATACACTAAAGGCAAGAAGTGTGAGGAACCGTGGTCACTGGGACAGAAAGGCATAGACAGAGGTTCTAAGCCTTCTAAGACAAACAAAAGTTTTTTGGAGTTTGGTGTTAATAAACCTTCAATAGTTCTTGTAAATATGTTGTTACTAAATCACACATGTTGGGACAGCCCGTGTCTGGGAGGACTAATTCGGTTATTAACTACCAGCCAACTAGTGGTAACTTTCACCCCCTTATTAAAGGAGAATCAGGTGAGTGATTTTCACTCAGACTCATAATCTGAGCCGACCTGCGACAATGAAACGGTCACAGTTCGGCTCAGTAGATCGGGAAATGAGCGAACACATACCGGCGCTCGCTCACTTCTCGATCCTGTGCAGGCAGAGAGCCGTGATAGGGGAGGGACTGGATTCCCCCCTCCCCGCACCGATCCTCCAGCGCTGTCTGGCGGAACGGACGGGGGCGAGTACAGCTGGCTCTGCCTCTATATAGGCAGAGTTAGCTGTCATTCACAAAGCTGGGTGGATCCAGACATAATTGTCGGGATCCGTTCCGGCTGCGGCGTCTCAGTATACTGCGAGCTGTAGCTCGCGGAATATTGAGCTTTGGGTGACGGGAGGACGCTAGTTTGTGTCCTCCCGTTACCCTTAGGAGAACTATGGGGAAAAGCCCTGACCCCATAGTTCTCCTTTAAGTATCTTAGCAACTTATTAAAAAGGGATTACTAGATGCATGTGTAAAGGAATCTGAGCTAACATTACTTATTGCTTTTGGAAAGTGCTATTCGCCTTGCAGTCTATAGCTTCTGAGTCACCAACATGATGCAAGCATGGAGCAGGCGACTCGGGAACGCCTGATCTTGCTCCGGGACACTTCTAGAGCAGAAAAGTGAATGGATCAGCATGGCAACCAGAATTTTTAGGAGGTGTGAGCTATGGCAGCCCTATGGTTTGTGAATGGCAGATTTCCTTTTAAATCCCATATAGTGCAAAAAGATAGAGGTATGGATAGCAGCAGTGTAATAAAGCCAGCCTTTTTATCAAATCATGCAAATCAATCACATAACACCTCATTCATTTACAGTTATCTGCAATAAACATTCCCCAAAGTGTCCTCACGAGGTGTTATAGTAATAAGGTCATGATCTCTTTTTCAGTTCAAACACACGTGCCGTAATAACACAGCTCCATTTACCTGTAAGCCAAACCTCTACTATTGTGGATACATTTCAGTCACTTCTTCCAGTCCACTACTGTAGGTTAACCTTAGAGCAGTGTTAAGTGATTTTTTTTTTTCCCCCTTTTTTCCTGCATTGGCTAATGAACACACAAGGGCAAATCAAAGAAAAAAAAAAATACATGAACATGTATTCAAAGGTTTATTGCACCAAATTCCACGTAAAGTAGATTTAAAACGATACAACAGTAGATTTAAGGAACATATCTCCAAAGTCCACTGACGACTGCTCAGTGAATAATATACAGTGCAGATTATATCTACCTAGGAGACTGTGCGAAGCATACAATCACATGTGAACAATGTCTCCTGCTATGTGGACAGCATATTCATACATACAGTAAGACTGTCTGTCATCAACCCCCAATCCTTCACAAAGAAAAAAGCTGACCAGGTGGCATTATGTTTACTCTGTACCAAAAATATACTTATAAATGAAGCAGCAATACAAAATCAAAATTTCCAGAGTGAAGTGTTATTTTGCTTCAACACGGCGACAGCAGCTCATTCTAACAATACGCTGACATTTAGTACTGTTAAGACTCTGCAAATACAATAAGCTTAAAGTTGTGCATTTCCTGCATCAACTCTTTGAAACGGATTAAAATTCAGCAAACTTGTTGAAGCAGAATCTACTTTAATACTGCCAAAAATAAATAAAAATAAATCTAAAAGCAAGAGGAAAAAACCCCAGAAAACTCATCACTGGATTATTTTAAACACCAAGAAATATTTAGCATCTATATGTTGTGTAGTGTATGTCTACCCAACTTATACAACACAGTAAAGCTAATTGTGTGACATTTGAACGCAGTCTGGTCTATCACTCCACAAATAACTGTACAATGCGAGTTGCTTTTTTCCCTATTTTAATGAAAAGTAAGACTTTCAAAGAGTCACAGTTCTTACAATTGAGGTAGTAACGTGAAGAGAAGACAGTGACTAAGGTCTGATCATTAGTGTTCTATCAATACATTTAATGTAATCTCAAATTGCTTGCCATTACATTTTACTGATTGTTTCCCATGAGCTAGCTAGCACATTGTATACAACATCATTTCATGGCCTTATTGAGTTTTTGTGATTGTGTACGATCAGCAAGCTTATACAAAATGTTTTACTGCACACCAATATATTCTGCTACAAAACTACCAGTGCTAAATATCTTATTTCCCAAACGGGGTGGCTACAGGACTATTCAAAAATCATTAAAGGGCTACACATTTTAAAGTGGGCATATAACAAAAACATGTTGCCTGAAATGATCTTGTCCAGCAGAATTGGAATAGTGTTATTTGTATTAAGCAGTCTAAATGCTGAGCAATAATAGTACCTTTGTACAGGCTAACTGTCCTTATCCTGTAGGAAGCGGCTGCTGGGTGACTAGTTTTCTCCTGAACGCTGTAAGTTTAGTCCCGGACATGCAGAAACCCTCTCAGCTCTCTATTTCTGAGGGACTCAGTGACATGACCTGTAGGTAGTGATTTAGCAGCTGCAGTCTTGACACTCCTTTACTTCAGCATCCAGAATTTATGGTAGTCAAATATAATGGTCACAAAAAGGTATGTAGAATGACATCTTCTATAAGTAGTTCCTAGTCAGAATTAGCACCATTTAGGCCATTTCCTTTAAGTTTGATTGTGTGCCAGGAGTTCAGCTTCAAAACCCAGCCTGAAGAAAAGAGCATGTAGCATTCACACTTTACAATCTGTCCAACAAAAAAAATCTAGATTGCCTGTAGAACCCAAGCAGGGTGCAGCCATGAGTTACCCAGTGCGTAACAGAAAGCGATAGTAGAATCTGACCGGTGTAGTTCCAGCATGTTTAGGCATTCCTATTTTTAGAAGCAACTTGTGCAAACGAACTTTACCTTTCCCTTGGGAACAGCTTGACACAGACCATGATATTGTTTCAGTAGCTTTTATATCAGGTGTATATGTGTTTTAGGCATTAGGGTCTTTTCATCCAGAACAAGGAATGTGACCACACAGTTTTCAACAAGTCTAGTCCTAACGGATTTCCAATTTTGAGTGAGGTAGGATGTCACTGCCCACCAGAAAGTAAACAAGAAAAATATGGGAGCTGTCATGGCTGACCTCCTTTTCAAAATGTTATTGCACTGGCTGTTATGCTGAAGCACTAGTTATAATAGCATCTGATCACAAATCGGTCAAAGATAACCCAAGTCCCAGGTGCTCATCTGCATTTTTGTTCTGGGTTCATTAAGGAACCTGGTGGGATCTACCTGCTTGTCTGCAATAGGCTACTGGCCTTAACTTACATATGTCTATGGAAACCCCATTCAAGCACGCAGGGCACTTCATCAGGCATCCTCAAGTGGTTTCTCCACAGGAATACATGAAGAACAGACAGAGAGCACAAATAATTTACAGTTATGCTGGGAGTAACATCTCCTTGTTAGGTTCCCAGACAAGACAAAGAAAGGAACTAACTTCTTCATACTTCACTCACAAATAAGATATCCAGTTTGGGTGAAGAACAGTAAGCAGGGAACTCTGCAATCAAATGCCGCCCCCAAATCTGCTTATGAAACATGGTGCTGTGCCCTCAAGAGTTGACACGTGATTGCAGCACCATGAAAAGAACAGCAACAATAAGGTAGTGTACAAAAAAAGATGAAGAACAAAGTGGAGCAGTACAGAGCAGCCAATCATATCTCAGACTCTGTAGTTCAGTAGGGACAATATAAATGCCACCAATATGCCATATGGCTTAATTTCTAAATTGCACTTCATATTTTATTGGTACCATATTTCATAAGGGTGCCTCGGTTTAATGGCCTTTCATGAACGTACTGGAGGAACAGGAGAACTAGTTAAAAATGAAATTTTTGTTAATAGTTAAAATACTTGAATTCATTTTTAAGATTTAACGCCTGAATTTAGAGTCACTTTAAGTCCATATACACAAGTACCAGCTGTCCCTGCTTTGTAGCACAGTCTAGTTTTGGAAAGGCTGGAAGGGGGGTTGGTTTTGGTGAAAATAGGCATGGATAATACTCAGATATTGGTCTGTGAGTAAACATGGGTATAAACATTTAAGAAATGGTAAAATATTGCATTAGTACATGAAGCATCACACCTCTTAATTACAGGTAGAACAAAACTGTCAGGTGAATAGCAAATATTGCCTTCAGAGCATGTTGGCTGACCACTGTTCACTCCTTTTCATTTTTCATACCAGAACCCCGCTACACGGCCTTTAAGCTCAGCATGAATTTTCATGGGATCAAACCTTGCTTGTGTAAAGAAGTATGAAGAAAGATATTTTGGGGTCTAGACTGCTAACCAACAGCTGACCGCCACTTGTGGTGCCCCATTGGGCCTTTCCCTGCTGAAAGTTTTAGATTCACAGATGTGGTAGTGGAAGGCAATCAATTAATAGATTTGGGAAATGCAGAATCTCTGCTGGACCAGGCAAAGTTAAGGATTCAGGCAGCTCACCACAATGTAAACATTTAGCAATAGAACAACTGGTACTGCCACTGCAGGCCAAAAGTGAACCTGTCGGTACAGGTATTATCCTATAGAAGCAAGGCTCCCACAACCTAGAAGTAATTCTAGTTGTGGGGAAGGCACATGACCATGGGCACTCTGCACTGTTGCTATGAGAGCCTTTACTGGGTCAGAATACTTTAAAACTGTTCCTAGTTACCTGGATGTCATGTTTCTCATACGGCTTCATTACTCTAGTAAATCACTCAGCTATGAAGCTATTGAAGTCAAGACTTGCTCTAGGCTAATAGGAGTGTCAAGCAGTAAAGCTGAACAATGACCACACCAACCAGGAAAATAGCAATTTGTATATATGCATGACAAGCAAGATCATCTCACTTGGGTAAAATAAAAGGATAGCAGAGGTTGTCAAGAGTCAACTAACTGATAGATGAAAGGTCAGGAATTATGAGAAATGGGTGAATGAGAATTCAATAAGTTTCCATTTCTTTGTTGCAAAGCATCTCCTACAGTACAATTATAGCATGCTATAATCTATACATTTCCTATTAAAAACCACATCTTCATTAAAGTACAATAGGTAATGCTCCAAATGAGAGCAAAAACAGTAGAAAACAAAAAGATATATACATTGTCCAAAGAAGATTTTCCTAAGAAGCGTGCAGTCAATACATTTACTGTAGTGTTTGAGAATGTAGGACTTCTCCTTAATTCTTCCCTGTGAAGCAACAGAAGGCCACGGGGGATCATCATAATGCCTCGCACTTCATGTAAACTTTAAAATGTGTCCCCTAAAGGTTTCAGGAGCAGAAGAGTTTATATACTAAGAAAAAACAGCAGCACAATTCACTGTCCCTCTTCGGATTGTCTGCTTCTTCTCTGCAGCTTAAGGAATGACCATTTGTAGAATGCAGCTTATAAAAGGATTTGTGCAACATGGGGTGAATGAGTACTCGCCACAGCTGCCAGCAGAGGTAAGTCACTGGATTCAATCCTAAATTTGTACAAAAAAAAATTACAAAAGTTAGAAAATAAATAGTGGCAGCAGAAAGTGTATATACTGCTTCACTTGGGTCAAGTTACCCCACACATAAATAAATGGATTATACATACAAACATGTACCATATAATTATACTGGTAATTCAGACAAATGTCATTTACTTTAGTTGGACAAATGGCAGTGCATTGTCGCATTTCAATGAATATTATATTATAGGAAGGGAAATTGTGTCAGCTACCCATCTGCTTTCTCTACCAAAAACAGTAATTGCTCCTAGCCATTACATCATTCAACCGAGTCCTATACACACTAGAGTGAGCGGTTTTGAAAATGGAAATTATAATCAATATTCACTAAAAAGGATCCTAATATCACTGTGGAACAATGTCCTTCAGTCATGTCAGATAGTCATTTCTTCTTCACTTGAAGTTTTACAGGTTCCAGATATAAAGATTTCTCAGTACATTAAGCACTTGAAGACTGGCCAGGCCATTTTGCAGTATTCAGTGCTGCGGTACTTTGACATTTATTCCGTCATGCAACGCTGTACTGAAGTGAATTGTATACCATTTTTTGGGGACGGATAGAGCTTTCTTTTTGGGGTATTTAATCATCACTGGGGTTTTAATTTTTTCGGGTGTGGGGGGCTGCACACCCTTTTGCATAATACAAGCAATCTGGCAGCTCTACAGACGCCGGAACGCTTCTGTGTAAACAGCCATCGCTAGCTGTTTACAATTTAAGCAGTTTTCCTGCTCGTGCACGCCGACGGGCAAGACGGGCGACAACGTTTAACAACTCCCACTCACAGTCAAGAAGCTCCCAGCAGGCCGTTTAATTACAACGGCAGGCCTGGAAGCCGTTAAAGTAGACCTTAAAGTGATATTAAAGTCAAAATGTTTTTGGCTATTTCAAATGCTGATTAAATCACTTACAAATGATGCTGCTTCTCGATGTTTCAAAGTTTTAGTTTCCTGCAAAATCAGCTGATCCCCCAAGCACTGACCCTGTTAGGGTGGCTCCTTTCATGGTCCTATGGAGCCACCCTTGTAAGCTAGTAAGCTGTGCGTCTCCACAAACACACAGACATGCCAAGGCGAGACACTACACAGCTCCTTAACGCCCCCTCCAAGCTAGTAGACAAAAAGCCGCTGGAGAATGTGCTTGGCTCCTTGTGATCTGCTACTGAACAGGAAGTTCAGAGAAGCAGAGCTGAGAGAGATGGAGGCAGCTGTTTAGAAACATGATGACTAAGCACTTGGGCAAAAATAAAAAGAAGTACTTTGCTGGGCAATGTATATTTGTTTGATTTGGTTTCATCATTGAAAAAGGTTTGAGTGTTTAAAAACTACCGTAAAGTACAAAGCAAGATCCTACTATAGTGTCCAGACACCCTTGCTCCATAAAAAAAAAAAAATCACCTGCAGATAGTATGTACAAAAGATAACTTTTGCAAAAATATAAAAAAGTTAGATTTTATACTACCCACCTTACCACAGTCATTGTTATCACTGGGAATTAGGGATGTTCAGATACCAGTGCTGATACTTGGCATTTTCATGAGAACTACCATGGTTGCAGCGGTTGCAGCTGGGACCTGGCTCTGGCGCTCCACCACTGTCCTGAAATCATAACTCTGTATTGTTTTAGAAAAACTGTCACATGGCAATAACCAAAAATGTATCAGTACTTGTATCTGTGAGTACTTGGACAAGAATCGGTACTTTGTGTGGGGAAAAATAGGAGGGAATACACAGGGAACAGATCGGAGATCATGTACTGTAGGTTAATATCGCCACCTGCAGGAGAAGGACGCTAGGCACAAAAAACTAAAGACCAATTACAGCCTAGGGGCGGCCCCTGCCGGTGGCCAAACCCCCCACCTGCTGACAAGTCTCCAGTTTTTTGCCTAGCGTCAGGAGTAAGGAGCTAAGAAGTCTCCAGTTTAGTAACAAGCAGTAGAGTACACACCCACATAGAGGGGCGGGCCCTGTGTCCTTCAATGAACGGAGAAAAAAGGATTTTACGGTGAGTACCAAAATCCTATTTTCTCTCCCGTTCATTGAAGGACACAGGGAACAGATCGGAGATCATGTGTTTTGGTGCAGCCCTAATAAATATAACAAGTCATACATTAAAACGGGGATGCACAAATCCTCGGAACCCGTAGCGAATGCTCCTTAAAAATGACAGCTGCCTCCAAGCTTTTGAGTTTTACTCTAGTCTAGTCTTTCAGCTGAAAAAGTATCTGTGCATGTACTTGGTATCTGAACATCCCTACTGGGAATAATGTCACCATACTTCTGGGCAGAGTCCTCAGGAATGCAGAGCAGGCCACATCTCACAAGACACTCCAGTCCATTACAAGAGCGTCTTCTTGCGAGCATTGGGCTGCTCTGTGCTCCCCAGAATTCCACTGGAAAGACTAAATTTCATTTACACCTAGATGCCACAGGGGGAAGATGGTGGTATGGTAGATATAAAATCCAACACCTTATTCGTTACAGGTCCATTTTGCACATACTTTCAAGTAGGTGATTTTTACAGGGGTAGGGAGCCCAGACTTTATAAGGAGACTAAAATATTCTTCCTAATTTTATATGGCCAAATATCTGCACAAAAGCAACAGAGGCGACATCTGCAGGTAATGGAGAACTTCGATTTACCAGAAGCCTGAAAAATACTGTAACTAAAACAAAAGATAATGAATGTTTCTCCTTGCAGTCTGTGTATTGTAGCTCTTCAAACATCTAGTTCATCAAAACACCAAATATACCAGAATATAATGAAGCTTTTGTTCTTTAATTCAAAGAATACATTACGCTACTTTACATTGGTTTATATAGGAGAAATAAAACCAACCATTCTCTGAAACATTTTACAGTGTCTACTCACCCCAATACCAAACCAAGCTCTTTTACATGGACTCTTGTGTGTCCCCTCAAATACTCCGACAACATTTTACTCTTGAAATACAACTCTTGCAACTTGTCTTCTAGATACATCACACACTTCAAGTAAAGGAATAAACAAGAGAAGGAAAAATTAAACTGGCACAGCATACATTTAGTGTTTTTTAATGCAGTAAAAGGCAACTATAGAAAAACAAAGCCTAAATGCGTAAATATATATATATATA